TGGCTGTAAGCATATGAAAAATTTCACTGAGTCGCACAGTCATTATTTGTGAGATTTAATATATATGGATACATAAAAATTGAACAAAATATTAAAAAATAGAATCTGGGGTGTGATTCATTTCTCAGTGGGACAAGAGTAACGTGGCGTGCCAGGCCTCAGGGTGAGGCAGCAACGGCGGAGTCGGGGAGCAGGTGTCCAGCAATAAGGGGGAGTCGTGTGGCTTAGTTCCAAGAGACACAGTTGGCACTCATCCCGAAGAGTGAATGAACAGTCTAGTTCCTGCCCTGTTTATCTTCTTCCTTAATGAGATCGTAATGTCGGTATGAAACCCTAAATTTTCTGAGCAGTATCTTATGGTGAGCTTCCTCTGGAAGTATCTGTTGGTGACCAAGTATTTCATAATGGGTGTGGCCTTCAAATACTGCAAGAGTTGGGAGGCTGGAGAAACCTGTGACCTGGGTGCCAGGCAATCTCCAGAAGGACATGAGATTCGCAAAGTGTGATCTATGCAAGAATTTCATTTGGTTTTTCAGTTTGAATGATACATTATTTTCAGAGGCACCACGATGAGATGGGTTTGGGGAAAGCCATAAGCAAGTTTTGATATAGCCAGTTTCCTTTGGGGTCTGAATTTATTACCTCTAAATGTGGGAGAGTCCCAGACGAAGCAAGAAGATCACGAGGGTCTAAGTGGACGATGGACTGTAAAGTGGCACAGTTCCAAACTGCAGAGCGCAGTGCACACCACACTGAACTCACTCCTCAGCAATACTGGACGGCAGCCTGACATCCCAGCTTTGCCACGCAGTGGTGCCAGGCCAGTTGTGCGACTGGCATGAATAACAATAAACACTCTAAGGGGCTCTCATTCTTTCAGTGTGACACCAAGCATCTGGACTTTTGGAAGAGGATTCCTGACAACTTTCTTTCAGCTGCCCTCTGAATTCTTGCTATTCAGCAGATAATCATTTCTGTTTAGACAGCTGAAGGAGGACAACTTTATATAATGGTGGTTAAAAACTTTAAGGCCCCTATAAATCTTTCTTTTTAATGTCAAAAGAATTAGAAACTAAAGCTATAGCTTCAATCCTTAATAATATCTTGGTGGGGTTTTGTTTGTATGTGCAGTGCTAGCGATCAGACCCAGGGTCTCGCGCAAGTGAGGCAAGTGCTGTGCCCCTAAGCCACTTCCCCACCCCCTTCATCATTCGTACGTGTTACCGAAGTTGTCTGAGGCCAATAATTTGTTCTGTAAGATTTCATAGGTTTGAGGATTAGTTATTATGCAGTAAAAATGTTAGTGTTGAGACTATGCCGGAGTAGGCAAGACAGTTCTTTGATACTATTATTGAAATTTCTTGCAGAGCCACTTGATCAGAGATTTGTCACATCTAACAGTGAATGTTTATAGTTTGTGCGTGCTATGTATTAAGATTTTAAAATGCTTAATAAAGTGTTAGGTTGAAAATAAATATGGGTAAGTCTTCTGAATTCCTCTTTCAATTGACAAAGCAAACATTTTGTACTTCATCTTTGGCTTTAAAAAACCTTTGAGTATAATTTTTACTGTCAGCATAATTTTGCTGCACAAAGTCAACTTGCAATTTTTTCTTAGTGTGTTTTCTCTAATTTGATCTTTCACTGAGGAGGGACTGACCTGACCTGGGGATGAGGTGGAGGGGACGGGTGAGATGGAATGAGGAGGTGACACCAAAACACAGTGTGTGAGACAGAAGAAATGCGTCATTACACATCCCAGAGAGGTCAGGGTTTCAGACAGAGCCCGATGAGAAGTCTGGAGCAGCCGGAAGGCCAACCAACAGTTGTAGCGCTGAGATGGAGGGGTCTGTCTGCGCCTCCATTGCAGTCTACTGGCTTTGTCCCTTAGGTTTCCCACAGGGGCTAGGTTGGTGTTTGGAGAACACATTGGGGAGGTGGGGTTCTTCCTCATAAGATGCTGGTTTGTTCACATTCAGCAGCTGTGAAGTCAGTTGCCTTTGGGATGAGGCAGCAAATGGGCTACATCTCAGGAAGATGTTTCAGTTAGGACCAAAGTGACTAGGTTTGCAACCTAATGTAATTATCCTCAGAATGGGTGACCTAATGTCAAGAGTATGCATTGGTAAAACCTCTTGGGCAGTAACCACATTAAACAAATTTATGGCACAAGTTTAGCTTTAGTTTTGATTTCATTGAATTAGTAGGGATAGAAATTCTATTGCAAAGTTGGACATAGGACAGGTTTTGGCAGATATATAGAACCCTTATCAGCTATGAATTCATGGTTTTAAATATATGAAGACTGTGCAGATACAAATATTCATGCATCCATTTTTAACTCTGTCCTCTGAGAGGATCTAAAGCAATGACACATCAGTAGTAATGACCCAGCCAGGGTGCACTGCAAATACCCAGCACCAGGATGCTTCCAAATATTGTTCTCCACAAAAGGAAACTAGGGGTCTTCTGAAAAAAGACTGATTCCAGGGCTGGAGCAAAGAAAACACAACATGAGCCTGGAACACATTCTGGTGTCAGAAAGTAAGGAAGTGCACAGAGAACCCTCCAGACAGGCCAAAAGGACACATGGGCCAATTTAAAGATGCATGCACTGGTTGGATCAGGATAATTAAGCAGTCAAAATGAACGAGTCACTGAATAAAATGCTGTAAGATATCATAAGCCCACAAGGATAAACGGGGAAATCAGTAAGTCAGAATGAAGAGAACGTTCTCCCTGAGAGCAGGAAGCCATCTAACGCAATTGTCCGAGGAGCCAAACAGCGGCTGAGGCAGGAGGATCACTTGAGCCCAGCAGTTCGAATCCAGCTTGGCAACACAGTGAGACTTCATCTCAAAAACCACCAGCACCACCACGAACAAAATAATGGGGGGGGCACTGGCAATGTGGCTCCCTGTACAGCGTTTGCCTAGCATGTAGTGGGTTTGAGCCTCCTCACTGAAACACACACACACACACAGAATTAGAAAACCACCATCATAAGAATTAATCTGGGCAAGAATCAATAGAGGTCGAGCTAGTAAGTGAAAATTTTAGGAGTAAGGCACATATATAACCTCAGGTATTTTCCCAGTAGGCATTTATTAATTTCAAATAGAAAAATAATGGTAATATATATAAAAGAAACCCGGAGGTTACCACCCTAACTAGCGATGGGTAAGTCAACATCACGAGCTTCTGATACAAGATGCTCGACAAGCACATAACACTGTGTCTGCTTCTACCAAAAATGTGTAACTTGAATCTAAAGATGAGGAAGTCAGAAAAATACAACTTGAAAGAAATTCTACAAAATCACCAGCCTATGCTCTTCAATGGTGTCAATGTTATAGAAAAATTTGTAAAAATTTCAAGGAGCTGTTCCAGAGTAAAGGTGAGCTAAAGAGATGACTACTGAGTGGGGCAACACCTGTAAATGTATAGTGGAACGGACCGTCATCAGCTGTCCTGTAAAGAATGCCAGTGACACAGTTGGCAAGATCTGAACAAGGCCTGTAGATCAGATAATGGTATTACAGCGATGCTGATCTCATGATTTCATTGTGTAAAAGAACAGAATGAATGAATTTCTAGGAAACAGATACAGTGCGTTATAAAGGGGCATCTTGTCCTCAGGACACAGGGGAGATGAGAGAGAGGCACGGAAAGAGAAGGGACAAGAGGGAAGAGGAGACAAGAGGAAGAAAAAGGAGAGGACGGGAGGGGGAGGGGAGGGGAAGAGGGAGAGGAAGAAAGGGTAAAGCCAGGACAGTGAGGTAGTAACGTCTGGGATATTGGGGTGAAGTGTGCGTGGATTTCTTTCTACTATTCTTGTAACTTTCTTGTATATCTGACACTATGTCAAATAAATGAAAAAATAAACAATTTAGCAATTTAGATCCTAGAGACACATAAACACAGAGACACACAAACACACACCCACACAGAATGCTATCACTTTAAAATTGTTTTTTATTGTATTCTATTCCTGTTTGCTTTTGCTTCCTGGTTTTGAATAAACTCTGTAATTGCTTTAAGAGTTTTTAAGCTTATTTTTGCATGACTATCAAATTTTTTAGGATGTTTATTCAGTTATCTGTACATAAAGTTAATAGCCGGGAATTCAAATGTCCTCTAAATCATTTTGTAAACTACAGCTCTACGGCAGGACCAAACAACAGCTGCGCGTGTGGTTAGTTATTATTTCTTTAAAAACTCAACTCTCCTCATGTATGGGTATTTCATTTTGCTTTCAAAATCAGACACTGAGAGTACATAGCTTATCGTTGTCCCCTCTGTTTCCTTGCAGATAGGAAGCAGTGGATTTCAGTGTTTCACTGGGGCAACGCTACGTAATTAGGTGCCTGCATGTTCTTCCTGTCTGTCATTATATGACAAGATCTTTTAACTTCATTTTATTGAGTACATGAAGTACATACAATAATTAAAGAAATCTTGTTCATTTCACGCTGCAGCAACCTATGCACTGTGCATAACTGCACCTATATAAATATGTACCCTCTCTCCCTGAAAATAAGACCTAGCTGGAAAATAACCAGCCTTGAAAACCGGAGCTCAGAAATGCCAGCCCCTGTCAGCCTTGCCCTTGCCCTAGCTGCCACCACTGTTCTCTTGGTTGGTGGCCACTCTGTGAGGTAAGGGGAAGCTCACTGGGACCAGCACTCTTGATCTCTAGTTTTCAAGGTTGATTATTTCCTAGCTAGCTCTTATTTTCGGGGAAACACAGAATTATGCTTTAAGAGCACCGAACCTACGCTTCTATATCAGTCCAGAATTACACGATAAGCTCTTGAAAGAAAAAGCAAAGTCAATTTTGTTCTAAAGGGCTTTAAACTGTACCTATTACCCGCAGGACGTATGTAATGAAGAATTTTGATCATTATATTGGCTTCATCTGAATTTTCAAGTAGATGGCAATTCAGGTTTACTATAACAACACCGTAAAATAATAATAAATAAATACTAATATCACATACCTCATTCAGACAAAGGAAAGCTGGAGTTGCTGATAAATCGACAAACCGCTCGTCTTGAATGTTAATCGTGGGCACTATGGCATAACCGATGTCTTCTTTATACTTTCCATCTTCCTCCTCTTCCTCTTCTTTTTCTGTGTCTGTGGAGCTATCTTCCATTTCTTACAATTCTGAAACAAAAGGCATTCCATATTCAGCTGTTTAGGGGTGTCTTCACTTATAAAGTAAAATTCATGGAAAATAATGACAATAGCAAAAACCTGAAATGCTATGTTAAGAAAGTTAGCTATGATCTTGTTATTGCAAAAGGCTGCTCTGTTGCAATGCTATTCCTAGACACCCCCCTTCCACCTCGCCCTCTCTCCTCACTTCTCCCTTTTTACAGAGGTGGAGATCAAACCCAGGGCCTTGATCCTGCTAGCAGGTAAGGATCAACTACTGAGTGACGCTCCACCCCCACATACTCCTTATTGCTGCATTCAAATCTTTATTCTAAGCTCTGTGAGGGCAGAGACTTGGCTTTAAATTTACTGAACACTGCAGTGAGCACTCAGTTACTATTTATTGAGTGAATAAATAAATGTAGCCTTCATCCTTAAAATAGGACACAAAATCAATGTCCATTAGTTTGGAAACAGCCAGGCTGAGCTATGGGCAAGAAAAGGGCCGGGCCAGGGATGGGCTCTGGAGCCAAACCCAGGGAAGGGTCAGACAGGACACCGGTTCACCAGGCTGTGCTGGTGGCAGGGCTGGTGGTGTGCAGGCTCTGGCAGTGGCTCTTTGCTCTCCACTTGCAGTGCCAGGGATAAAAAGATCACACTGAGGGCACAGGTCCACATGGCCTAGAGAGTCATGGAGCCCAAGGTGGGGACGTTCCGCTTTCCCACTGGGTTAGTCGCTTGCTTTCTGATGCCTCTACAATGTCTGCTTTGTCCACGATTCTGTGGCCACCCTTGAATTACTACTTTTCATATTGTGTCCAGAACTGGACTCCTTGGAACAGAAGTTTATTTATCTGCTTGTGTGGCTTTGACACCTGGCAAATGACACACACAATAGAATGCGTGCTAAAAATATTTGCTAGTGGAATAAACAAGTTGTACCACTCTCTAATATCCAAAGAATAATCCAATTTCAACTAGTTTGCTTGACTTTTCAGAAATGAAATGCTAATGCTGAACCAATGGAGTGATAATAATTTACTTAATTTATTAGAAAGTCAGTTTGCCCAAAACTGAAGTCCCAGAGGAGTAAAACTGAAATTCTACTGTGATTGCTGTGGGCAACTTCTATCACCAGCTTTGAAAATTTTTCTTTCCCAAATTGTATTGGCAGGCTATCTCTAGAATTTGTAGGGCTCAGTGCAAAAAGGGAATGTAGAGCTCTTTGTTTAAAAAGCAAGAACAATATACCACGAAGGTTACCAAAAGAAAATTGGCCCTTTAAAATATTTTATTACTTATGAAATATAATAGGGATGACAATGACACATGAGTAATAAAGGTTTATAAACTGTAAGAAAATATTTGATGTCATAATTTTATGCAGTAAAATAAATAATAATATGTTATCTCGGTCATATGATTTTTCTGGCTCACTTTTCTGCAAATTCATTTATTAGATTGCCAAAACTACGATTTTTGCAACTTCACTTTCAATCAACATTATTTAACTGATGTCAGTTGCTCTTGGGAAATAGAAGACCACAAATCATTTTTTGCAACTTTCAGTTTGAGAAGAATCTGCAGATGCATCTGTTTACAGGGATTGTTAAGAGTCTTTGCAGGCTGTGACACTTGGATAAATTTCTGATGAATTATTGCGAAAAGATCATGAGTCTTATATAATAATTATTCTAAAAAGATTTAACCCTATACCAGCCAGCTTTACTTGTAGACTTAATTTTAAATGTAAATTTATTCAACACTCATTTTCACGTTTCCTGTGACATTCTGTGTAACTTGTGGGGGCTGTGCGAGAACCGTTATGATCTGTGTCTACACCCAAACACTGCTTCAGGCTATTTCAGTTACAAAGAAAAAAATAACATTAAAAATGGTCTTCCTTGCTAATCCTTGGTTTATTCAAAGCTTTATAGGAAAAGTATTCTTTTCCATTAAATACAAAGATCTTTAAGTTTAATTCCTATTTATAAGCCCATGGATATTAGATTTGCAATTTGGTGACTGCCAATTTTTGAAAACTGGAGATTTTAAACTGATGAGTTCTAATAACTCATGCTGATATTTTTTTTTTATTGTGACCTCTACATGTTTGTTTCTATTTTGTAATAATTCACTAAAATATTTTCTGCAGGAGTGCCAGCAGTTTCTGTCCCTAATATGGAGAAGCCACGTGGACCAGCTCTGGGGACCTGGCTCCTAGGCTGGGTCCCAGAGCCACCCTCATGTGAATCCCTTTCCATCTCTCGAGGCTGTGACAATTGTCTGTCTCTGCCTTTACCACTTTTGCTGTTACTGCTGCTTCTGCCTCTGTTGCTGTCCTCATGATACTGATTTGGACCCAAGTCCTGGCCCATTTACCTTGGGACATCACAGTGCCTTGGACTGTCCCAGGCATGCACCTAAGCACTGCCATCGCCACAAGCCTGGGCTTGTGCCTGTGCCCCTGCCACTAGGCCTCTCCCTGCTATTCAGGTGCATGCTCAGTGGTCCCAGAAGACTTCACTTGCAAAACACAAGCTCAAAATTTGAATTATTAAGCATGTTAATTTGGTGACAGCAGAGAAGAGAGGCAAGTACCCTCTGAGAGTGGCGCCCTCTACAATTGCAGGTATCCTGTATCCATGAAGCCTGCCTTGTCCCCTCTCAGACAAGGACTCCACTTTGGTGACACTGGGATGGCTGTCCTTCTAGAGAAAGCTGTTGACTCCTTTGCCGATAAAAATGCCAATGTCATTATCCACTCTTTTGAGCTGTGGGATGCAAGGATCTGCACTCAATCATTAAAACAGTCTACTATACTCTTCTGCTGCTAGAGAAGACGACTGTGCCTATCAGGATTTTGAGGTGAGGATCATCTTCCTCCTGTGTGTTCTCTCCCATGTGTACCTTAGTGCATTTACTGCTCCTCTGTGATGAGCAGCCTCATTTTTCCACTTGGCAAGCATGCTCTTTGACATGAAGCCTGAGGCCTGGGAGGCTCTGCTTCCTGAGTTTATTCATCAAGTGGTCACAGGCCTGGCACTATTGTTTGAATTCCACCGTCTCAAGTAATAGTGACAGTGACTAAATTTTGTATTTCAGAAAGATGTGCAGAACAAATGTGATAATGCATCTGGACTTCTAGCTTCCACTCTGCTCTCTCTGATTGTCTGCCACAGACATAAGTTATCCTTGGACTTTTTACCCATCACTGCAAGAATACTTCTAGGTGGTAACATAGAATTCCATCAGGAGGTACCCCATGTCTGGCTGGCTGTCTTTGTGTTATTATAACAGCAATTGATACTGGTGGGTCTTTCTCTCTTTTAACAGACATGTTTGTCTTTTTTAATGCCACAAAGTACGTTTTTAAAAGAGCCTATTGTTATGAAGGTATTACAACACTTCATATTTGGCGAGTAAACACAGTTCACTCATTAAATCTTCAGCTAGTTAGAAGTGGTTTGGCTCTGTATCTGAACATGTTTGCTAATCAGCTAAAATGTACTGTATGTGCTCAGTCAGTCTATGAATGTTAATGAGTATCCCTGAAAAGTATTTCCTTCAGGACATGAGGCCATTTATATTATTTTTCAAACATTTTTAGAAATAAATATTTTAAATATACAGCGAATCTGTAGGCACACGTCAACCAGCTTCAATGCATGAGCAATTTTGTTTTATCTTCAACACTTCTTTCACATCTCCACTGGTCAGATTATTTAAAACATAGTACTCCTTTGCCTAGACGACACTGTACGTTATTTAAACAATCATTTAAGTGTGCTCCACATTTCTGCTATTACAAAAGTGTTGATAAAGTATAGTATTGCTCATTAAAAATATTTTAAAGGTTCCTGGAATCTTTATAATCAAGATGGCGTTATCATTGAAAACTAAGGTTAAAACAATCAAAGTACTGTATTGTTAAATATGATATAGTTTTTTTGGGCAACAAAAGACAGTCGTATGCAGAATGGGCAAATTCTCAGTAGGCTGAAGTTTTCAATCTCTATTATCTTGAAATATAAACATTTTAGAGCAGAAGAATCATTTGACATAGTAAAGACATTCAAGCAACTAAAAGACACCATAAAGTTCTAACAGGAGTTTAAAATAAACTTAACCCATAGAATAAAATACGTAAGCATCAATGTAACTAAAAGACACCAAAGACACATACACTGAAAATTATAAAGCAGCGATGAAATAAATTGAAGTAGACACAAAACAAAAGAAAGATATCACATGTTCACGGATCTAAAAAAGTAGTACTGTTCAAATGTCCTTATGACACAAGGCAATCTACAGATTTGAGGCAATCACTGTCAAAATTCCAATGGAATTTCTCACAGAAATGGGAGGGGACCCTAAAATTCATGTGGAACCATGAAAAGCCCTGAATAACCAAGGCAATATTGTGCAACAAAAACAAATTTGGAATCATCACACTTCTTGATTTCAAATTAGAGCAGAAAGGTACAGTAATCACAACAGTATGATACTGACATGAAAAAAGAATACACTGATGGAACAGAATAGAGCACCTAGAAATGAGCATATTCATATTCATATTCATATTGACCAGTTTTCAGCAAGGACACTGAGAATTCAAAATGGCAAAAGTCAGTACCATCAATAGATGGTGTTGGGAAAACTGGATATCTACATATAAAAGGATACAATTAAGCCCATATCTTGTACCATTCATAAAAATGAACTGGAAATGGACTAAAAAATTATTTTAAAAGGAAGACCAGAAAAAAAGAAACAAAAACTCATTGCCAAGACCAACTTCAAAGGACATAGGGAAAAATCTCCTTGATGTGGTTCTTGACAAGGAATTTTGGGAGAGGACGCCAACACCCAAGTAACAAAATAAAAAATAAATATGTGGGATTACAACAGGCTAATAAGTTTCTGTACAGTACAGGAAATAATCAGCACAATGAAAATGCAATCTATGAAATGAAAGAAAATATTGGTAAATCAAATATTTGATAAAG